CCCAGATTTTAAATTGGGTCAGGTGTGAAGACAGCACTTGAGTTCTTTTCGCAGAAAAGTAACTTTGCGCAGGATTCGTGTCAAGCTCATCTCAGTGATCTTTTTTCATTATCCCATTTTGTGTTTCATCAAAGCAATTTCTTGTTTTGTCAGAGCGCTGTATGTCATTGCTTGAATTGAAGTTTATAGTTTCATTTTTAGAATTTATCCTTTTTAATCTGAGTAGAGTGAAGTACAAATAATCCTTTGCTTTGACTAATGCTCTTGCAGCTAAGCAGCAGAGAAAGAAGGAAGTGAACTTTTCACAGTACCATCTGTAACCAGCTGGTTCTGCCATTCAATTTTTAGCTTGCTTGAGGCAAACAACTGCCTTAATTTTTTCCACGCGGTGAGTTATCAGCAGTTTGTTGTAAAGGTCATCTGACTCTGCGTCACTTGCTACAGGAGATGCAAAGTTTCTTGGAGATGATTTTTGCTGGATGCAGTCCTTCCATTAGAGTTAAAATTGTGGAAATGATCAACAGATGTACAGCTCCAGGCAAACTATCTGTAAAACTTGGATGATCTTTCTTGTGGTAACAGAATTTCTTTTTGCCAGGATTTCCAAATCTGCAAAGCAGTGTGTGGGTTGTGGTGTTTAGTGGGCATACTTCTGTGCATGCCCACCTGAGGAGGACAGAGCACAGAAGCTGGAGATGTTTGTGAGGGAAAAGGAAAGTGGCACGTGGCTGAAAAGTAAAGGAGATGCAGATTGGGAATCAAGTTCTGTTTTCAACTCCTACATGCTTGTGGCATGATGTGCATCAGGCCCGTCTTAACTTGGTGTAAAACGTTTACAATTCTTATTGCACCAGATGTATTCCTGTCCCCTGGGAAGCCTCCTGGCTTAGGAAACAAGCCAGTATTAGGATGAGTGATTTAGGAAACAAACACGTTGCAGGAGTTTTGATAGCTTATGAAGGTATAGTATAACTCTAAGTGAATTGGCTTGATGGCATGGATTCCTGTGGCAACCCAAAGAGTTGCCAAGCTTAGACTGGCTTTTCTCAGCTTTTCTCCTAATAAAAGGGGGCTAGAAGCACTGCTTTGAAGTGACATCTTTTCATGTAATAGCAACCAAGTCACATTAACAACAGCTAAGACTAAGTGGACTCACTGGCTAGTAACTTTTTTTTAACGTCTTCGATCATTTGGGCTGAAACTTTCTGTACTGGATTTTTGGCTGCCAAATAAAAGTATTGCCAATGTCCAGCTGGCTATATTTGAATGTCCTTTTCCTGGAAGACTCCAAGTAAAGCTTGTGACTATTCACCTTTCAACTCTTTTCCTGATAAATTCTGCATCTGCAACACTTCATCTCCTGTGTGTCACAGTCTTGCTCCCATGGTTGTTCTTATGTTCTCTCTTATCTTTTTTCTTACCTGTATCCCATCCATAGCAACCAAAGGCCTGACTGAATTTTCTAGCTCCTTATATTGATAGGAGAAGGAAAAGAAAGACCATACAGTATGTTGTCTGCATGTTTAAGGACACTAGAATCTGTGTGCACAAAATGGCGATACTCCAGATGCGTATCCAGATTTAAAGAAACTGTTACTTCTTTTCACCAGCCCCAGTCTCATGATTGGTCACGTTTATAAATGCTTGGTGTCAGTATTCAGTGACAGTAGGTGACTGTCAGAGGATTAACTTTCTCTAAGGCTTTGGAGGGTATTGCAGGATGGAGTAAAAATAGATGGTTATGCGTGGCAGATTGGTAAATGTAGTATCTCATCTCTCCTGATTATCAGCATTTTTTTATTCCTTAGGGCTGCCCTGAATTGTTAATATGTCTACTGGCCCACTTAGCAGCTCCTTTGAGCTTTTTCCTTTCTTCCCCACAACCAGTGTGCTTTTGGGGAAGTGATTTAAAGGGGGGGGGGGGAGGAGATCTGAAGCCCATCGCCAGTGTAGGGGCCCTGATGGGGACTATGGGTGCTAAAGCAGGACATGTGTATAAGATAGCAGCCAGCACAGGAGCAAGATCATAGATGGATATATTCCTGTAGACAAGCAGGATGTGCCCTCTCTCTTTTCTTGAGGGCAGCAGGTGGAAGGCCTGACCACCCAGAGCAGAAGAGCAGCAGCAGCACCTGACACGCAGTGTCCTTGGCCAGGCTTTCTGCTTCAGCTCCGGAGGTATCGCTTCTGTTTCGAACTGTTACTCAATCCTTATGATAAGCTATGTTCATAAAACTGTCTAAGCCTTTTTTAAAGCCTCTTAATCTCTTGATTTCAAGAGATCATAGGGCAGTCAGTTCAGCAAACTAACATTGCATTAGATTTGTTTCATTTTATCATTTTAGATCTGCTGCCACTTGGCTCTGCTGCAGATATCCTTGATCAGGAATAGTAACAACGAACAGAAGCACTCGACCTGATGACACACCTGGCAGTTTAATGTGTTATATGGTATTGTCTGGTTTCTCTCCTTTCAGAACGTTCCAATTATTTCTAGAAATGGAGGCTTTCCTAGGGCCTTAGATTATTACGTCTGTCCATCTATCCCTGTGTCTCTGTATGGGTAAGCAAATGATTCAAGTTGCTTGCGTAAGGAAACTCTAAGCATGTAATTGATCTTATTTGTGTTAAGCCTTGCTGATAAAGTAGCAGCTGTAGCCGCTGTACCAGGATTGGAGTGACTACGCTGACTTGCAGGGGCTCATCTCCAGCTATCTGTGAGGAGGACCCAGAACCCTACCTTCCCTTTAAATAGAGGAGGGGTTCCCCCACGGTCAGTTCCTGAGCTGCTTTGATGGGATTTGAGGAGTATTTTTAATGCTCTGAGATTTTTTCCTGGCTGATTCCCCCCGGGTGGAGTGTTTGGGAGAGTTGGACTGAGAGCCTGACACGACCTCCAGCACCTCAGCAACAGCCCTGTTCCTCGGCACACAAGCTGCAGCAGCCCGGGTGGGACATCCACACAAAGTAGCTTTTATCATTGCTGCTTTGTTCTGTGCTACCTAATTCCTACTCTCTACTGGAGGTTGCACTTGTATACTGCAATTTCTTGGGTTTTAAACTCCAGAGAAAGTAAGTGCAGCTGTGGTTTGCAGAGTTTATCCCAGCTCTCTGAGTCCTTTGCGTGCAGGAGTGGAAATATCCCTCCTGGAGTGATGGTGCCCGTCCCCTGTGCTGAGCTGCTTCGGAGGTGTTCAGGACGTTTGTGTGCACAGGGCCATCTCCAAAAAGTCTTATAACTGACAGTCTCTCTTTCCACAGAACAGTCAAATACCTACATGCTGAGGTGATCGTTTCTCCCTGCTCCTCACATGGAAGTACCTTTTAAAATTTGCCTTCGTTTGGTAATTCCTATCAAAGAAATGGGTAAAAATTAGTTTTAGAACTGTAATTTGAAAGAAAGGGAAAAAATGACATGCGAAAAATAGTCATCTTTGTTAAAGAATGTGTTGTTGAAGAGTATATTTGGTGGCAGGAGGGCGCTTGCAGTTGTGATCTTAAACTGCTGCGGATCTGAGTTGGCTGCTTATTATCTTAATCCTAGTGGTCCACCAGGAAGGAAGGAAAATAATTATTAATGACGGATTTTAGTTAAATTTAATTTATTGGTGATGGAACTAATTAGCCATTTCAGGTATTTATCAGTTCAACAAGACAACATTTAACTCTCAAATGTTCCAATTACATTGTGGCTAATTAAACATGATTGAACTGGTAGGTTTACAAACACATGCCTAATTACATAAAATTACATGTGTAGTGGGTTTATGGTATGCCTCAGACGAGATGCATTCAATGGAAAAAAAAATTTCCCTTAAGACTACATTGATTTCACCTTAACGTTGAGTTAAATTGAGTCAAATACTCAATTGAGTCAAATACTTTGCTGTGTTTTTAGGCCAGAAATGTACTTTGGAAAAGCTATAATGAGATACTGGGTTAATTGATCAGTTCAAAAAGATAAGAAAAGGGGGGAGGAGGAAGCAAGCTACTCAGAATTTGCAGAACTTGCTATTGACGTCTAGAGCTTATCCACAAACGTACAAGTGCTGTACTTGAAGCCACTGCTCAAAATTCCTCAGGTAAATAACGGGGATACATAAAGTACAATAGGTCTTGAATCATGATTTGAATAGACTTTTCATCTGTGTTTGCTCCCCCTATAGTATGTCCTACCATCCCCAATTTGCTGGATGGTACGGGTGTCTGGAATTGCTTAGATGTAGATTGTTTTGTTTTCTTGAGATGCCACCAGATTGTCAGTGAGCATGGTAAAGGCCAGCCTTTTTGCTGCAGCTTGTCCTGATTCTGTGATTTCGTGATTTCTCAGCATGTTATAGGTTTCTTTTTTTGGAAAATAAAAACTGTAAATTTCCTCTGTGTTTTCCTGGAGGTTACCCAGCAGTCTATTCTGTCGGGCAGTGCTGGAGGAATCTGGTTGTACTGAGGGATCTGAAGACAAGAAATCTGAGGGGATGAAATAGATTTCTTAAGCCAAACATGAATACTCCAGCACATCTAATTTAAAGTTTGCGGCTAATACTTTGTACTGTGATGGGCATAGTGGCAGAAAACTGACACGAAAAACACCAACAGTTGTCAGAGGCTTGTGAAGGAAGGAACTGGCCTCACGCACTGGAGTAGGTATGCAAAAAAAGAGCCACTTGGAAAATCTGTTGTCTTTTTGCATACTGGTGCAATAACAGAGAAGGTTTGAAAGGCCTTTCTTGAAGCTGGTTTAGGTTTGCTGGAGGCTGCAGTTTAACCACTAAAGAAAATAGAATCTCTGCCTAGACCTTCAGCACTTCTTTTTTTTAATTCTGATTTATTGTGAAGATGGTAAATAGTCTGCTGAAAAGATCTGATTTCTAAACTAGAATAGAGAGGACTTAGTGTGAAGGAGGAGTAACTTATTTGGTTGTCATTGCTGGGACAAAAAGGACTGCAGAAATCCTTCCCTTTGCTGTCAAACCTCTCTTGCTGGTCTCTGGCTCTAGCAAACAGTGTTAAAACCCCCACTCAGGCTCTGTGTCTCACCCCAGCCTCTGCCAAATGCAGGGTGCCAGCAGCAGGCACGAGTATGACTTCTTCTGGCTCGAAAGAAGGCCAAGCTGCACTTGCGATGCTGAGTGAAAGGAGTGAGGACAGGCTTAATTCATCTTCTGAGTTTGTTGCCCATCTGTTCCTTAAACCTGTACACTCGCTTGCTGTTGCTATGGTGTTTTATTGTTGTTTATGCCAGTAGAGTATAAATGGGTATATTTTCTTCAGTCCTGCTCAAGATGAAATAGAGTATGAACTAAATCTTTGGTGTTTGTGGGTTTTATTTCCTGCCAGCTATTATCCTTTTGATTAGCACCTGATAGTTTTTTTTTTTTTTCCCTTAATGTACAAAATCTCTGTGATGGTCCATACCCCTTCAATTTCTGCCCTAATGGATGCACATGTCATTTTATTATGAATGGGACTTTTGTTAGGAAAGCTGTGCACTACACTGAACTTATAAGATGTTCTGCGTAATTAAATTTGTATTAAAATTCAAGACTTAATTTGAACCATCGATAAAAAGGCACCAGGGAAAAACCAGTATTAGCACAGAGGGGAGGGTGTGTGTGTGTGTTTGTATGAGATGGTTTAATCTGGGAAATAATGCAAACGGTCTCTTGTAGCAGCCCAGAGTGCCTGCAGCCGGCCCCTTTCCGTGTCCGGGATGGGACCAGTGATGCCGGGAGCAAGAGGACCCACCAAGGTGGAGGCACGCATGAAGCTCATGTGAGCTGTGAATGGGCTTTGCATCCTAAAGAGTCCTTCCTGTTTCGCAGGTTGCATCGCTTTCCTATAGCAACAATGTATGGTTTTAACTTTGCAGAAATTCCTATAACTTTATTTATCAAATGGACTATTTTTTGTACTTAAGAACGCTACTTCTGTATTCCAACAAATGCTGAATTTAGACGACAGGTAGTGAGATAGCTACTTTAGAGCTGCTTTCAGATTTGGAGTGATCACCAGGTTGGATTATTGGGGAAAGGAGGTCTTTCCTAATTAAAACCTGTGTGTTTGTACTGATAATGCTTACACCCCAGTCACCAGTTCTGTAACAATGAATTTGCTCATCAGTGTATAAGATTTGTAGGGTGCAGATCTTTTTTTTTTTTCCAACTTTGAGTTAATTTTTGCTTGTTTGAGGATTTATGAGAGTACAACGTTTGCTTACAGGAGCATGTATTTTAAATATACCAACAGTGCCCATATGAGTTCACTGGAGTATGTTCGTGTTCAGTGTTGCTGCTTTTGCACATAACTCAACAGTATAATCGAGAGTCTGCAGTAATATTGGGCAACTCGGGTAAATTATGCCATTTCCTCCCCAGTCATTAGTGAGGAAGAAATGAAGTCAAATGAGGCATTATGAAGTGTTAGTAGATGCTTCTAAATAACTTCAGATAGCACTCTCTTATTTAAAGGTCTGTTTTATCCTTGTTTGCTGACACAGGTGTTCTCCCTTGTTCTCTCTCCTCATATATCAAAGTATATCCACAAAGAGAGGGAAGTTCATCCTCTAATTTAATTTTACCTTTGTGCAGACATCTAGTGCTAGTAGGATATATTGGGAATAGTAAAATTGAACAGATTTATGAATGCCTTGGATTTTCCCAAACCTGCAGAGCACCGTGTGATGAGAGCTCGCCAGAACACTCCCATGCTGAGTTGAAAGCTGGCTCCAGATGTCACCTGACTTTCCGACACGCAATGTCAAAAACACTCTGGCAGTGCAGGTAGGCTCCAGCCTGGCAGGAGGACGATGGAGCTCCCCTTGGCATCTTTATTTTATTGCTAGCAAAAAAGTTGGGCAGAAAAAGCAGTAGCCCACAGGCATGGCTGCCTTGCTCTGATTTCCCTGTGGCAGATTCCCAGGTGGAAACCCCCTGCCGGAGGGGCACCCAAGTCAATAAATCACAGCTCTGTGCTCTGGGTGGCACGATGCTTGCTGCTGTGATGAGCCATGGAGGTTTGGAAATGGTATCAGAAAGTGTAATCTTTCTGTCTTTGTAATTTGTTGTTCATAAAAAGACAATGAAATGAAGGAGGATAAGAATAAAATTTTATGCTGTGCTCTTAGGCAGTTTTATACTTCCCTCTGGTAATAAGGCTAAAAGAGCACAATAATATTAACTAAATGTCTGGTCTTTGTTTAAGTGCTCTTGAAAGTTAATCAATACACTCGTGCCCGAAATGATGTTAGCTCTTCAGCTCTGAGGGGGCTAGGCAAAAATCCACCCAGCTCTTCTGGATCTCAGATGATGGCAGGGCTGGAAGCAAATTATGATGAGCTTGTTTGCATTTTGTCTTGATGGGATTAACATCAGATGCTGCCCTGTCACTCTAGATGATGCTTTCTGTATACTTAATTGACAATTTCAGCTTGCGTACAGACCATGACCTAATGT